ACTCGAGTTGCAACCAGAGTCACGGAACGGATTAAGTTCGTAACTAGAAGTACCACTGTATTTTTGTTCTTAATTCTGCCCGTATCCTTGTAAACTGCTCTTGATCATTCTGCTACATTCTATTAACATTCTACTGTATTCATTGCAATCTTTGTGTGCCGAAAACATGCCAGAGGATTCCAGAGTCAGTCCCAATTCCGAAAGAGATTCCTCTGTGGATGTGCCCTGAATTTGTCTCTGTCCTCATATTCCTGCCTTTTCTCAAAGGTCAACAGTTAATCATGTTTGTGGGTTTCTTTTCTCACAGGCTGCGGGCCAGCTTGAAACACTCCTCAACAAGGAATCGCGACTGGAAAGGCGTCTGAGAGTGTTGGCGCAGGACGTGGCCACCTTACAAAAGAAATCCCAGGATAATCAGCGCCAGGCTCAGCAGGCCACGGGAAAAGCTGAGCGCGCCACTAACATAGCACTCCAGCTAAGAAATGTGAGAGTCCCATTCTTGTCACTACTTTCATTACAGGCAACTGCTTTTCGTGGTGGTAGTAATGAACTGTGGGTTCACACTATAGTGGATTGTAGGGGTGATGCTTCCTAACAGCTTTCCTATCTCCAGCAAGGAAATAGGAGAAATAACCAATAGGCAGCTTACTGGAATAGTGTAATGAAAGAAAGGCTAAGTTTTAACTGAGAGGGAAGAGAACAGGGGAAGAGGCACAAGAAACAACTCAAGAAAGGGATAGTATTTAAAGAGAGTTTCTAAACTGAAGAACAGGCGTAGATGGAATCCAGCCACAGAGTTAGGCGAGGTGAATGTCCAGATTGTAGGTCGGAGACAAGTGGCGTCGTGCACTCTGATGTTGCATGAAAATAAAACACCCTAGACTTCTCTGGACAGTTCCTTTTTATCTTTTTCAACCCAACAGAATGTCGTTAAGAAATTATGTAAAGGGGCTTGGAACTCTTTACTCATCCAACTATCTGTCTGCCTCCCAGTCTATCAACAGGATAATTCTCTAAAAGCAGAATGGAACAAGACCAAATTTGGTTCAGCGGGAGAAGCCCAAAAAAGATAGACTGAGTTAAGAAATAGACTGGATCCAGAAAAAACTCCCCCAATATTTTTCAACCTTGGCAACATGGCTGGCTGGGGAATTCTGGGAGTTGAAGTCCACACATCTTAAAGTTGCCAAGGTTGAGAAACAATGCCATAGAAGAATTCCAGACCCCCTACTTGGCATGCTTTCCCCACCTTGTTACTCCCTCCTTTTTTGTAATGGTCTCTATCTTCATCCCCCCTCCAGAACCTCCTGTTTCTCCCTCCCTTGGAAGGTCTGTTGCCTTTCTGCACAGGGTTATATAGGGAAAATCTCTCAAACTACAAGCATTCACACCCACACCTTGGCTGATTCTTTAGCTGCAAGTCCCTTGGCTACTGAGTTTATACTTGCCAGAATCCAAAGCTTTTTCTCCCTGCCCAAAGCCCACCTCAGCTAGTCTGTTTCCCAAAAAGCTTCCTCAGGACAGTGTGTCTCATGGTTCTTCTTTCTTTTCTTCTCCTGCCTTCTCTGTCCTTGCCCACTCTAAGTCTCTGTGTGTGCAGGAGCACAGGTGATGAAGTGTTGTCACAACCTCACAATGCAAACGGTGTCCCTTACATACTTTGTGCAGTGTCATGACTCAAATACTAAGCAACAGAGCTCACATCATGATATCACAGTGCAAACATCATTTTGGCATCACCATGGTTAGGAATGGAGGATGCCTGTGTGCCTAAATAGGCTACTGAGAGGTATACCCATTTTTCTCTCATGACTCTTATTCTCAGTTGTCAAGAAGAACATAGCCCTTTCTGTCCTTTAGGCTTTGATCTTCATCACAAAGCCCTGTTACTTGACCATCTGTCATTTCTACACAAGTAACTTACAATGTCACTGAAGTCAACCTACTACGGTTATGTGAAAATAACAGTAATGAGAACAGGTTTTCAAGGATGCTATGAAAATGCTAATTAGTTCCTGGTGAGAAAATGGCCATCTTCATCCTCAGTAGTCCAAAGCCAATTCTATGAGAAATAGCTGAGGGATGCAGGCAATAGACTATACATAATGAGGCAATAACTAACAAGACACAGCCAGATGGCCTTTTTAAAGGGCAACCCTCAAGTGGGCAGAAAAGTATACCAGACTAAATTTGCTGCCCTAATAAACTAGCTCTATTCTCCCGCAGTAACAAGCCCATCAAATGGTACTGTCCTTATAGTATCCATATGGGACAAGTTAAGAAAAGTGATTGGTAGATTCCTCTGGCTTCATTTCCTGTCCCACTGAGCATCACCTGCCAGTGGTAAAAACAACCATCAGTTGTTCTCCTTAATGTGTGATAGGGCAGGGCTGGGTGAGTGTTGGTGGGTCCTGGAACGGCCAATTTAGCCTGCAGAGGTGCTCCACACCTGTGTTATATCAGTGGGCTGTTTCTGGGGATGGGTTTAACACTAGCCCTGGGTCTAAACCAACTCAGCTAGAGGTTGCAGGTACAGAGGAGGGGCCCAGAGTAAAATGGAAGGGACCACCCCAATACTCTTGCCCAATGCAACTCTTCCTCCAAACATGCAACCTATTAGATGACTATTTGGGGACATACTGTAGTTTAGAGACCTGTGTTCAGAAATAGCCTAGATGACACATCACAGGTGTAGAGGAGGGGTTGTGGGGAACATTGGTGCTCTCCTTCTATACCCATCCTCTGCACCTGAGATCAGTCACTCAGACCAACAGATATTGAGAGGGGGAATACAGGGTGAAGTGGAAGGAACCAACCCAACATAAGCCAGGTCTACTCTTGCCTGAGAGCCAGTTTGGTCTAGGGGTTAAGGAACCAGGCTAGAAACCAGCAGACCGTGAGTTTCAGTCCCAGCTGAGACATAAAGCTGGTTGGGTGACCTTGGGCCTGTCACTCTCTTTAAGCCCTAGGAAGAAGGCAATGGCAAACCACTTCCACAATCTTGCCAAGAAAACTGCAGGGACTTGTTCAGGCAGTTGCTAAGGATCAACACTGACTCGAAGGCACACACACAAAAAACCCACCTTGATTAATGCTGCAAGAGAATGGCAGTACTGACTGAGAGGGATTGCATTTAGCAGCATCCAGAACTAGTCCCTGGAGTTGGCAAAATGATATAGTAGAAGCAAAATAACATTGACTGTCCCCAAAAGTAATTTGAAAAGAAAAGTACATCCCCATGAAATTCCTTGTGGGCAGAAGCAGCAAAAAGCCTGTCAATGCACTCATTGATGACAGAACCAACGGTGCACACCTGGCAGTAGCTGGCTCTCTTTCCCAATTTGAATCGACCTTCTGTGAAGCAGGGGACTAATGGTTTTTCAGAAGAGCATTAAACCTGTGTTGTTAAGGAGACCATGTAAGATCTGGCGAGCACTTTGGAAAACATCAGTCAGGCATTAGGTGGGCAGATGCCTCTGGAAACCACGTGGCCAGTCTCTCATGCCCCCTGTACCAAAATGGCTATGGAGGGCAATGCCCAAGGGTGAGAGGGGAGGAGACATTCTCACAGCAGCCTGAAGTGGCCAATAGATGCTGAGCAGACCCCATCTCCCACTCATTAGTCATATCCTTGAAAAAGCATTTTCTCAGGCCTTGGGTTAGGGTGGATGGCGCCCCTTGTTAGATGTGGGTTTTGGGTAAGTTTTTGTATTGAGTGGGTGGATCCCATCTTGTCAATCTGTTTTGTACAGTATTATGTTTTTATTTTGTTTTGCTATATTGCGAGCTGCTTAGAATCGATTCAGAGTTGAGTGGCAACTAAGTTGAATTAAATAAAGAAATAAAATAAAGCATGCTAGATCAGGTCCATGGCAGAAACTGTGTTGAGAGATGACAGGAAAAAATACTTTAAAACTGAAACAGCTAAAATTGCCTCTGTTTTGGGCTGGAACTAAAGGCAACATCATGAAGTTATGGCATATTAAAATGATTACCGAGGCCTGTTTGTATCATGGTTAAGGAGCATGAGAATGTGTGTGTATATATGTTTATTCTTCCAGATGTTACATTGTTTGTATGCTTTACATTACATCTGTTATTAGAATACCTGGAAAATATGGATCAATAGGATTGCAGGAGAAGTATTTGTCCCTGATACAAAACATGCAATATTCAGAATGCCAAAAATAAGGCCTGTAGGCAGACCAGAAAGATGGTAAAAGACAAGCCAGTGGTCAAGTGGTCAAGCAGACCAAGAGGAAGATGCAGGGTGGCTGCTCACTTGGACAAATTATTAGATGGATGATGGTTTCATTTGACCTGCCTAGAAGATTGCAGATGGCTTGCAAAGCCACTGACAGTTCTTAGGGTGGTATTGAAACCTAGATGCTGTCCTGTTAAACTTCAATAAAAATTATTATTATTATTAAAAAAAGAAAAACCTAGAAGCTGTCCTTAACCTCCAGGACTTAATTTTATTTCCTCATCTGCTTGTTTTGCTGGAAATAGACTGGTTGTTGGGCTCTGTATCTTCTCCCCTCCCATGCTGAGAACCTTTCAAGGGCTACCATCCCCCCAATCTCTACCCATATTCACTCTGGGATTGACTGCTAGTTTCTACCAACTACTTGCTTTTGTGATGACTCTCTTCCCTCTGTCTCTAGGAGGTAGACGAGGTGAAGCAGAACTACCAGAAGTTGCAGGATGAATTGGAGAAACAGCCCAAGAAAGTCCTGCTCAAGCTGAAGAGTCTCAGGGATGAAGCCCAGAATCTGCTAGATAAGGCCAACAGCAGCAAAAGAAAGCTGGAAGGTGAGAACACAAGAGGAGAGTTTGGCTAAATATCAATCTCGTGTATCTTTCTCCAATTATAGAAATAAGTGCAAAAAATAAAAATTGGTGGTGATGATGGGAGTTTACTGACAGGTGGTGTGTGGACAGTGCTACACAATCCAGTGGGCCACTACCCCAGGGTAAACAAGCCAGTGAGCAAATAGCAGATGATCGTCAATATCCTGATCAGTTAGGGAGCATCTTAAAGAAGACAAGGATAGTCGCTTCTTGCTGCTTTTTAAGGTTTTGAAAAAATCTGTGATGGCCTGATTGGGATCAGGGTTCACTATGGAATCTTGGGGAAAGCTTTCCCACCCCTTTCTTCTTATGTTTCAACTACACACACCCATATACCCCAATGTGACTGTGGAAGGGTAAAAAGTAAAATGGGGAGGGGGCTTTTAAAGCAACATCATCTTTGCAAATCCACTCTGGGACTTCATCCCCTTGTCCCTCTTTGTAGCAAGACAAAGGAGGTTCATTGGTCATCAGGGGCTCCTTTAGCACAAAACAACTCTAGAATTATTTGGGGCTAAAACGAATCTTATCTAACTCCCATGCTAGGTGCGTTAGCTGTTCACATGCCATGTTAGTTTAACCTAGTTAAGCATGCCATGTGAACATAGCTAACAAGTTGCACAATGAAAGTTGTCTTACAGTTTTTAGAAATTATTCCAAGGGTGAAGAAGCTATAGTTCCAAGGGAACTCTGACTTGGAAAATGTTCTGCGTGTTACTTTAGCAGATGCTGGGATATTTAAATTAGTATTTGTGCAGCTGTTCAAATCATGGCAATTCTTACAAAGTAAACTCAGTGTCGTTATTACCCCCAAAGTTGTGAGTAGCAACTGAAGTAATAGTATGATCAGAATGCATCATTTCTTGATTCATAATTTAACTGCTTTGGCATTTTGCTTCATGCATCTCCTCACTCCCCTTCTTGATGGAAAAAAACTTGCTCTTTCAGGGCAGTTTCCCCTAATCTGGGGCTTTCAGATGTGATGGGACTTCAGATTCTGGAATTCCTGGTCAGCCTCTTAGTGTAGTGCATGCTGGCTGGGGAATTCTGGGAGTTGAAGTCCACTCATCTTAAACTGGCCAAGTTTGGACAACACAGCTGGGGAATTCTGGGAGTTGAAGTCCACTCATCTTAAACTGGCCAAGTTTGGACAACACAGCTGGGGAATTCTGGGAGTTGAAGTCCACTCATCTTAAACTGGCCAAGTTTGGACAACACAGGTGTAGACAGAGTTACATCTTTGCCAAGCTAGATAGAAATTCTGGGTGTTGTGGCATTATAACCCCTGTGCTTCTGGAAGGCACCAGGATAAAGCAAGTTGTTCCGGGGAGTGTAATGTTCCAGCTTTTGAAAACCTGTGGCTATTCTTTCAGAATTGGAGAAACGCTTCGAGGCCAATGAGAAAGAAATGACAAATAAAACCACAATCCTGCAGGAATTGGAGGCAGAAGTGGTGAAATTACTGCAGTATATCCAAGAGAAAGCCACTGCCTATGCTGCTTGCTAGGCTCCAGGTCTCTGTGGACAGCCGCTCGGGTCGGATTCCTGCCAGCTCTGGACACAAGTATGGTACGGTGCTTTCTGCTCATATTAATAACTGACTCTAGGAGACAAGACTGTGACAGTAGATCCAGAGCTTTAATGTAATCCAGATCATTTCATCCTCAACTGACTGTAGCACTTAAATCTACCTGGGATCAGACATTAACAGGCTGAATCTAATGTGAATATTTCATAGAACTATACATTGTGTCTAGGCCATGTTTTGTCCCAGGACTCTGGAACTTTGGCCAGTTTCTGAAGGTATCAGCTGGAGAGATGGGATATTTTCACTGTAGTCATAGAACGGGAACCAGTTTGGTGTAGTGGTTAAGATACCAGGCTAGAAATTGGGAAACCGTGAGTTCTAGTCCCGTCTTAGGCACGAACCAACAGGGTGACCTTGGGCCAGTCACTCTCTCTTGGCCCTAGGAAGAAGACAATGGCAAGCTACTTCTGAAATCTTGCCAAGAAAACTGCAGGGACTTGTCCAGGCAGTCTCCAGGAGTCAAGACTGACTTGAAGGCACCAAATTGTTATTGTAGTCATGGAAATACTTCCTCTTTCAGTACCTTCTTCCTACCTTTCACAAAGTTATTTTTCCTGTAGCCCTGGAAACAACTGTACTTTCTGGACCAACCAGGTTGCCAGTATGAACGTCATGAAAACTGAATTCCACTTACTGCCATTCAAGATTACTGAACAGTTCCCTTCTCCTCTCCTCTTTTAAACTATTAGTTGTCCTTATTTTTTTTATAAAGTAATGCACATACACACAAAAAGCAATTAATAATTTTCTAAAAGAGATTTTCCTACCCTGGTTCCCTCAACTCCCATAATCTTCAATTAACATAGGTGTTGAGTACAAACTCAAAATTAGGAGGAATTTACGAACCATGACAACAGTTAAGCAGTGAAACAGCCTGCCTCCTGGAGTCATGGGAGCTCCATCACTGGTGGTTTTCAAACAAAAGTTGGACAGCCATTTGTCTGACATGATATGAAGATTCCTGCCCTGGGCAGGGTGTTGGACTAGAACACCTCTGTTCTTTTCACCCCACTACTGTATGATTTTAATTCCAACACTGCTGGTCTGGAGAAGGCTGCAGGCCATGACACTCCTCAGCTCCTATGAATACTTACTGAAGGTCTCATATGTTCCACTCCAGATGAGGAACTTCTGTTAGTGAGTTAATCTCAGTAATGAATATTTTAGGTTACCAATGATAGCCCTCAGTACACATTAGTATTAAAAAAAAAACCCAAGTTATGGAAAGCATGCTTAGCATGGCTTCAAGAATTCTTTCCAACCCCTTAATAGCAGCTCCACTCTGGGTCACATGACCAGGGCAAGTGGGGGCTTAACAATAGAGCAGTTGGTAGCATTCTATTATGGATCTCCCAAGGGGATGCATTGGGGGGGGGGTATCCCTGAATTTTTTTACACCTCCCCAATCAGATCTAACCCATTTTGTAACTCCATTTTTCTTTTGTTGACTTCTTCCCATGCACACACACCCCAAATACGATCTTGTTTGCATCAGTTTTTGCTGATGGAGAGACACATAGACAGACTGACAGGCAGACATAGTCCTAAGTCCCTTTACATAATTTCTTTCCAATATTCCGTTAGGTTGGGAGGAACAAAAAGATTGATATAGATTCATACATCTTGTAATCTTAATACCTTAGGATGGACTCCAGTCCTTTTATTACCTGATGCTGCAGCAAAATGGTAAGGAGAAGAGAGGGTTCACCACGTTCTGCTGATGAACTTTCCACCAGCATTGTCTAACCGTTGTATGAGATGGAGAACTGGATTGCTTGGCAGGTGAACAGTTAGAGATGACCTGTGAGGATGAGATAGGAAATTCCCATTTACCCTTGATGACAAAAGCACAACAATACATTAATGAATGGTTTACCTTATTTACATCTCCCCTCTCCTTCAGATCCATCTGGTACGATACAGCTGGCGTTGAAGGCAGTCCTAGATTTTGTGTCCCCTTTGCCTTTACTTTCTCTTCAGTTCCATCCATAGTTTGTTTCAACCTGATTTTCACAGCCACTTCTACCAACTTGCCTAGAGAAGACTGATTGTTTTTCAAAGCTACTTCTCCCCCTGGGTCTGGCCTAGTTCTTTACCCCAATATAGCAGACCCTCCTCCATTTAATGTTTTCCAACTACAGAAGTAATTATCTGGAGATAAACAAATGCCTCACTACCCCATATGAGTTGTCCTATCTTAATGGAGCTAGAAGTCTGTGTTCTGCATTCTTCCCTGTTTTATTGGCCCAACGGGCACATGCGTAATTCACCTGCAGAATGGAAAACAACAGTGCCACTTCTACAAAGTGGATTTTTTAAACATCCTTCCCTTGTAGTAATAAAGCCTTTGACCTTTCTGATTTTCTGGTGTGTACTTGTATATCTGCGCCTCTTATACACTAATCTTCATAGTGCATTTACGTTTCAAGGAATTCTTGTGTACCGTGAACTTTGAAACTGCAGCTACAGCTTTTGGCTTTACCCTCTCTGCTTGTGATTGAAAGACCTTTGGGAATCCCTGTTTCTCTGCTGAGGGAATTTTGCCTAGCCTACGCTTTTCATAAAGCCTTCCCTATCCTAGCGTTTTCCAAACATATTGGACTCCAGCTCCCATCATTCTCAGACAGCATGGGGAAAAACGTGTAAGGGTACGCTAATAGCTGGGTGCTGGAGAAAAATCCGGCATATATGAGTTCTTTTCACACAGATATTAGATCTCTCTGCCTTTGTCACACCATAGAATTAAGAGGGATTAATAGCAGAAGTAAATGGGGTGCCTAGAAAAAAGGAAAGAACAGCACCATATTTATTTCCAAATAGATAACAGAAAGAGAAAAACAATGTGTTTTGGGAGAAGCTGGCTATAAAGCTAAAAAGAAAGAAGAGATGTGTTTGATACGATAAGCCTCTAATGCCGTACAAAACTCTCCTGCTCCCCCACTTTATGATACAGTAATGCTTTTCCATCCCGTTCCCAACAGGACGGGTGAATCCGGGGCTAATGAAATCTGTCACCTAACCTGCTTGAAACCTCTTAACAGGCAATGACTCCTTGTTTCATACATTCATCTGTGCTCACAGTAGTGCTTTGCTAAATTTTATCAATAATAACTCGTCTTTTGTATAAAAGAAAGCTGCAGGCACATTTTCAGCAAGATAGCTACTGTACATCATATGGATATACCCAGTATGCTGTGGCTTCAGTCTGTTTTCCCCTCAGCGCTGGGGAAATCATTTTGCAAGGAATCAGTTCCTATTTTCCAGATAAAAAGTAGCTGCAGCGTCTCCAAATGTTCTTCGTTTACAAACTGGACCAGCAGTCTTGCTATCATCTAACACTTATTTCTTTCTTCCTTACACCTAGCTATATCAAACTCCGCAGAGGAGTTCTGCAAAGGACTTGCCCATATTCACAGAACGAGAGCTTGGCAGACGAAGGGAACATATCTATGTCTCCCAGAGCAATGCCTAAAGGATTATTCCTAGATCGACAGTAGAAACAAGATACATTTTATGGCTGGAAATAAGATTGCCCTTTTAAAATGAATCAGCTGTTTGAAACGGGCAGGGCTGGACCAGTCCAGAAGGCTGGGATGCTGGATCTGCTGGATGTGTGGTGCATTTTCTGGCAAATCGCCTTTAGCACAGGGTGGGGATCTTTGTCTTCCTGTCCCTCCCCATCGTACAGCATCATAACAGTAACTACCGGTATTGGAGGCACTTAATAGGTCTCTCTTGTTCTGTAGCCGCAGAGAAGGTCTTTTTCCGGAAGCTCCTGTTGACAGTAGAACTATCTCTCCAAGGATCCCACCTCACATAAAAGGGAGGAAGGGGGACACGCCTAGCTTGCATTAGAGAATTCAGAACTATGCTCAGCGATCTGCAGGAAAAGGAGCAAGCACATTCCACCAACTGCAAGGCCGGCCCACTTTGTACATGAGAAAATCTGGAGCATGCTCTCTCCTTAGCAGGAATGGGAGTCTGTCCACCCACTGCATGGAGGAGGGGGGAAATGGGTAGTGAGAAAGAGGCGGACATGACGCTGGCCAGTCAACTAGTACATGCTAGATACTAGCTAGCCCTCTAGTGACATGTTTCTTGTGGGAGATGATTTAAAACCAGGTTATTCACCTATGGAACTGTTGCAGAAGCTGAATTTTTGAGCCTGGAGCCATAGGAAATAGAACTAAAATGACAAACTGGCACGCAGATAATCCCATGCTTTTCGAAATGCCAAGACAACATAACAACATAGTTGTGGATGTGGTTTGCCGTGCTTTATCTATAACAACTGGAGCACATCAGCTCCCTACACCATGTTCTTCACTTGCAGGATCTAGAAGTGACATTCAGAAATGGAGAGCTTCGTTCCTTATGACATCCAAGCAGGTCAGCTTAGAAGAAGGGAAATTAGTCTGTCCCTCTCTCTTCCTGAGTGTGTATTATTCCTGTAGAAAAATAACTTTAATTCTTAGATGTTTCAGATAGATAGTTAGCCTTTGGACCTTACAGACATGCTGTAGAGAATCAGACTGTAATATGTGGAATTGGTAGAAAAGGATAAAATATTTTGTGCATTTGCAGCCCAAACATGTCCTGGGAACATTTTTTGACAGGGACCCATGATTTTGTTCTCATCTCAACCCAGTCTATGAGTGAGACATGCTTAGGCAATGGAATGACTCCCCTGTTCTAGAATGGAGTTTTTCCAGGGCTTGAACCCAGTACCTTCTCCATGTGAAGTTATTTCTTTGTTCTTGCTGATCCTTCCAAAGATTATTTGTTTAATTCTTTAAATATATATCCTGCCTGTTCCTTGGCCAAGCTCTCCAAGAATCAGAGATAAGAAAGTCATTTTTGCCTATCTAAAGAGATTGCTTGCAACAATATGCTATCAATTTCCACACTTGAGATTGTTGCATTTTAGGACAGGATACGACCACAAAATAGACCTTCTTATTATGGTACCATTAAGAAGGAAAATCATACTTTCTGAGTATATATTCGGCAGCTTATACAATCTTAGACAATCCAGTCTAAAAAAAAGCAAAGATATTTTCCTAAAGAGGTCAAAGAAAGTTCTGTTGTTCATATAAGGATGTGATATCCTTATCCTTTCATTTGTCTGTGCTCACCAGTCTGCATTTATGTTTAAAACAATTTTAAAGTACCATAAAAATCCATAAAATTACAATATGATAAAAGGCGCACGTTCAACTGCTTTAAAACCAACAATGGGTGGAAAATTATCTCTCTGCTAAAGGAGATAGAAACATGTTTTATCTTTGGGTGAAACAGAACAGAAGCAGCTAATGGAGCCTTTTGGAAAAAGGATTTTTCCCAGTTAG